ATCCTTGTCTGACTCAAATTCTTCTGTGTGCTATGAGAGTTTCACAGAGAAGCAGCTGGATGTTCTCCTTCCAGGTCGTTTGGAGTTTTTCTTTGTGCTGTGCCTTGTACCGCTTCTAATCACCATTTACTGCTATCTGCGATTGATTTTGATTCTATTCAGCCGTCCCATGATTTCCTGGATGCAGAAGAGGAAGGCTATTGGGATGGCTTTGGGAACTCTTGCTGTGTTTATCATTTGTGTTCTACCATACAATCTATCTCATGTAGTGGGTTTCGTTCAGGGTCAAAGCCCTGAATGGAGGTACTACACCTTGCTTCTCAGCACATTAAACACCTGTATTGATCCCATCATATTTTATTTTTCCTCTTCGATCTTTCATTGCAAAAGCAGCAAATCTATTTTCAGAAAGCATTTTTTTAAAGATGTAACCATGGAAATTCAAGGAACAAATTCAATCTGAAAATGAATAAAATTTCTAATTGTGGACACAGAAGTTAATAAAAAAATATAAAATTTTATTAGAAAAACACTTAAGTTTTTTGATTTACCCAAATTCTGCTGCATTAAGATAATTTCTCTTGTTTGTCATTCACTATGTATTAACTCTAAACCATGATTGACCTTTTCATAGGAAAACTACAAGTGTACGCTAACTATTAGGATATGGGTTAGTTTAAATCTTGAACATTAATTATTTAGCACTGCCTTATTTTCCTCTGTTATAAAGCCAGTTATCTGTTCCATACTAATACAATCTGTCGGCTTATGTATAATTTATATGTAGTTAACAAGCATTATTCATTTTATTTATTCAATTATTAATTTTAAAATCAAAATAAAATATTGAAATCACAAAAATGTGTTTTTATTGTTGGTTGGATGTGAAACCAGTTCCCTGAATGATTAGTCATAATAATCAAATGTTTTTTAGCAACTGAAATTTATAAATAAAAAGAATATATAACAACAACTGCAACTGAGTTTTTTTTTTCTCTGAGGAAACAACATATCTGAGTAGCTTACTGACTGCCACCATAATTTTGCAGAGCTGCATTCATTCCAGGTAATATGTATTACAATGAATAAAGCCTTTGCTCTTTCTTCCCGTGGTTGCTACTTCAGCTTTGAGACCAGGTGGTTATGGTCAGATCACGCCAAAACGATTATGTTTACAGCGGTTCAGTCTACTTTGAAAAGTAGGGATTTTCTGTTTCCAGGGATCCAAGGTGTTCCTTGTTTTGGTCAAAATAGAGGCTCTGGCATCTCAGAGTGGCATTGTCTGAGAGGCAGGGGCAAATCTACAGAGGGACAACTGCTTAGGATCACCAAACTACTAATAAACAAGCTGGAAATATAAATAATCTTGCACAACGTATTGTAAACCCTATCAAAGCATAGCAATAGCAACATAGAAGACCAGTGTTTGTTAGCAGGTAAATGTGCTGGTAAACAAACCTATATTAGATATTGGCAGTGGTGCAAATGTAAACTTGGCCCAGTAAGACAGTAAGGATTAGAGGGCAGCACTGAGGGCCATCAGGACCCAGAAGATCATTGGCCACCCCAAAGAGGGAATGACTTCTCCACAGGCATCTACACATCTAGACATCATCCTGGAAGACTGTTTGGATCAGATAGCCACGGATGTAATGCACAAACAGATGGAAAAGGCTCTAAAAGCAGCCAGTTGTTGATTTTTTTTAGCATTATAAACAGCTCTTTCATGACATAATAAAAGGCATTGATAAAATGTTATTTCATTGGAACAGCAATCTTTACAGAAAAGCACTGTTTCATTATGGGCTAGCTTCCTTTGCTGTAATGGGTCCAGTGTGTTTGAAATCATAGTGACTTACCAGACTGAGTTACACCCTGAGTAAATCTGTCTGGCTGGCCAGGTTAGACCATCACATGATCAGAATGACCCGAAGCAGCTCAGAAGACAGCATGACAGGAACCACTGGGAAATATTGTAACAGTGGTCCAAAGTTTTTCCCTCTCTGGTTGTATACTTAATAAACCGTCTATTTGAGGAGGGCTTGGTTCAGATATCACTTTTTAAAGTAACTGAAAAAAAAACAAGGGAGTTCAAATTTGTCTGCTTCACAGACAGTGTCTGGTCTTCGATCATGCACTCTGCTTTCTGAATTTCGGCCCGGGGTGAATTATATACGCAAACTATCATGTTAAAGGAAAAAAATTCACAGGGAGAGTAAACGGTGTACACCAGCTGCTGTTAATGTAAAAAGATACCAACTCCCTTTTACTCTGCTGGAGAGTTCTATGTCATGATCCGCTCTGACCAGCTTGAGGCCAGCCAGCTGCAAAGCAGAGTTCGGAATATGTATAGACAACCATAAATTATAGGACGGAAGATAAACTAAAGTCCTCGATCTTAACAGGATTCATTAAAAAAGACAATCGTAAAGTTGTAAATCCAAACACTAAAAATAACAAAGAGCAACCTCAAACAGCCATGGCTGGCGTTGATGCAGCGGAGTCCAGATGGAAGTGAGAACTGAGAGTAGCAGGCCAGCTGGCAGCTTTGCCAGGGCCTGGAACAAAAAAGTGAGTTGTTTTCCCTTCCATTGTGGGAGGTAGAATAGGTTGGATACTTTGGAAGTTCTCTGGTCTCTGAATCTGCTGATAGTTCATTTGCCATCTCTGAGAAATACTTTTCTTTTGCCATTACAAGCATACACTCGTTCAGAATCAATCTTTTTTGTTGGCCACAACCCAGGATAATTGAAATGAAAGGTGTCGTCCTTCTCTGATCCACTATGTTCAGACTCTTCTGTTGGGCAGCAAGCCCCTCCACCTGCGCTGTCTGTTATTGGTACGGTTAGCTGTCTCTCCTCCTCAAACAAATGCTCCCCCACATGTGTTTGAAGAGGAGTTCAAACACATGCTACTACATCTGAGGTGTACTACATCTGAGGTACATCTGAGGTTTTTAACAACTTCCAGATATAAATACAAATACAAAAGCTATTCTAATAAAAATTTTTTAATGCATATCGTTTGTATTAACAAATAGTTTGTCTTTGGAAATGTTAGGTCCTACTATTGTCTGATATTTTTGTACAAAGTCACAAAAAAAGGACTGGAATTTTAAACAAGTTAGGTGATCAATCAATGGCCACAGTATACTCATTGGCTTTTGATACTGTAGAGAAACTATGAATGCTGGAAAAATAACACTATAAAACTGACCAATTCAACAAATTCAAACAAATTTGATGGCAAATATTTACTCAAACATGATTTGGCTCATAAATATATAGAGACATTTCATTTTGTTAAGTTAGAAAGATAGACCTAAATAATAACACATTGAGTAAAGGGCTAGTGGGGGTGGCAAACTTTGCTATTGTTGAATCTCTTACTTAGGAATTTGTTCCACTACTGCCATCTGCTGTTGTGTTCCTGGATGTTGTTATTGGTGTGCATAGGCACTATGTCATTAAATTGTGACTTTCATGCTTTGTATTATTGCAACCTGTTGATGGTAACCATGGAAATTCAAGGAATTTCAGTGATAGTGTGAGTTTTTAATTGATAAACACGCCTCAAAGAGGTTGAAGAGATCCACCTGCTGGCTCACTATTTGTCCATCCCTCTTCACGGTCAACACCTTTGCGCTACACTCCAATCAACACTCTCCTTTAAGATCCTAGATTAAAGCCATAATATGCTGAAGTTTTGCATCTCAGTTAATATTAACTAGACTGGACTGCTCAATGCTCAATTTGGTTTTAATGTGTGTCATAATGTGTCATATGAGGCTTCAGTGTAACTACCACTACAGTGCACATCCTGCTGATTCTTGATGTAGTCAGGTTATCTCAGAAATCACTACGAAAACACAACTGAGATATTTATATTCCTTTAGGTGAGTGTTCTTTTGTTTATTTATATATTGTTACATATAATATTTTATGTTCTTATTAAAGATCTGTTGTCAGGATGACTATAGCTTTTTGTAATTGTA